AAAAAAACTTCTTGCCCATTTCCCCCAACAATTCTCCTCTTTGGTCTTTTTATTTGGCCAAATTTAAAATAGTCCAATGTTTCTTAGTATGGTAAGGTAGTGGAGTTGAAGCTTTTGATAATTTTTTGCTTGTTATGAATTGTTTCTCCTTGTACAATGGTGGTTGTCGACCACTTTAATTCTCTTGTTGTTTTCTTTTTTTTTTTTTAATTTTGATTAATTTGACTAATGAAAATAAAAATTAGATTGGGATTTTAGAAAATGTATACGTGTTTATTGGCTTTTGGGCTTCTAAACCCATATCATGATTTAATTTAAGGCTGAATTGGGCCTTTAAACTTTAAACTTAAAATTGATCAAATAATTAAATGGAATTAAATTTGAGTTCATACAAAAATATTAAAAAATGATTAATTTGGAACAAAGCCTAATTGAGCTCAATTCGATAAATTTAACCTAAATCAAAATATTCAAATTAAGTACCAAAAATCAAACAAACTAAAATTGACCTAAACAAAATTGGGTGTCTACATAATTGCCTATGCCTAACTTGATATTTCGGGTTTAAATTTTTTTAAAACCTGGCTCATATTAAAAAAAAAAAAATCGAAACCCACCCATTAAGCCTAATTTATACAATAAAAAATAAAAAATACTCTTTTTTTGAAAAATAAAATATTAATATAAATTTTACAAAATATATATATATTTATATAATTCTAATAATTCAATTATATTTATATTAGTCGGGTGGGGTTAGGCTTGGACTTTAATTCTTATGTCTAAGATTCGACCCAAAATTTAAATGAGTCTAAAAATTTTGTCCAAGTCTGTTTAACTGGTCTTAATTTCTTTTAAATCTCTTAAACTTTGGGCGAACCTTAGGGTCTATGTGAATAGCCAAGCCCTTGAGTAGGTCTATTCTTGATGCATTACAATGAATGTTTTTTTTTTTTTTTGGTATTAGTTTTATTTTTGTTTTATAATTTTTATATTAGATTGTGTTTTAATCATTTGATAACATAAAAAAAAACTAAAAATATGTGTTAGACAAATAAATTTGTAAATTTTGTTATAATTATATTTATTTATTTGTATCATGTAAATTTAGAAAATAGAAATAAATAAAAAATTTCCAATGATGAAATTAAAAGAAAATTACAAGTGGTGATTGAAATTCCTAAGTGATGATTTTTTTTTTTTTTAAGAATCTTAACAAAAATGCTTGAAAGATTTTGGAAGTATTCTAATAAAAATATTTTTATTTACTTTTTTAATAAAATATTTAGTAAAAAAAAGTTGCTAAAATAAAAATAAAAGCCAAAATAAATTTTTTATAAAATATTAAATTAATCTGATGATAAAACAGCTTCAAGAAAATGAATAAGTTTTTTTTAATATTCTTAAAGTGAGAGAATTTTTTTAGAATTCTACCAAAATATTAAAGAAAATCTAAACACTTTTCAATAATTTAAATAATAAAATTTTAATTAAGAATAAAAAACTATTCACATAAGACTATTTTAAGATAATATAAAATTAATTGGAATCATATTTGAAAGGATGTTATGAAGGTACTAATACATTCTCCACACGTAGATTAATCAATAACATACAATAAAAATTATCTCTAAGTAGGGATAACTTTCAATTGAAGGGCAACTCAATTACTTTCATTTTATCCAATAGCTATTGGTTGATAAAAAATAGTTTAAAATTATTGGTTTTGGCAAGTTATAGTATGTTGGATTGTAATTGGATTAGGATATGACGAGTTAGGTTTTAATTAGATTGGGAAAAAATGCTATTTATCTGATGTTAAATTATAATTGAATATGTTTTTTTTTTTTTTTATAGGTTTTGAGTTTCTATAATTTATTATCTACAATAAAATAAAATAACAAAAATATAATAGTAGTGATAAATATAAATAGAAAAAGATATAAAAATAAAAGATAAGTTATTTTTCTTTTATCTTTTCTTTTGTTTTAAGTTTTTTTATAAAAAATTTATAATCTAAAAAATAAAAAAAAATCATACTTTTGATCATATAATTAATAAAAAATACAACACCCATAACAAATAATGAAAAATAACAAAAAAATATAATCACAATTTATAAAATACTATTTATATTTTTAATTTTAATATTTATATAATATTTTTATTTATTTTATTTTTATTATCCTTATATTAAAATAATTAGTATGCCTCGACATAGTGGGGGACTAATTCTAGTACATTATGTTAAAAGTGAGTCCTAAGAATTGCTTTAGTAAAGAATGATGGTTTGATGACACATAAATTTTAGGGTTAATTAAGTGTTTAATAGAATGATATGAAAGACATTTGTCATTCAATTAACCATCCACAAAATTTTAATTTATTTTTTTAATTTTGTGTTAGTTTTCTTTTAAAATTTGTTCAACAATAATAGAAAATATAGAAAAAAAATAAAAGAAAAGGGAAACAATGATTTTTTAAATGTTCCTCTTATTAGTTTTTCATTTTTTTAAAAAATATTTTTTCTAATAAATTACAAAAAAGGAAAGGAAAAGAAAAAATAATTAAGATTTTTTTATTTTTCTCTTTTAAGTTTTTTCTAAATAAATATTTTTATTTAAAATGTATAAAAATAAAGAAAATATAAAATATAAATAATTCATAATCACCAATGAATTAACCATCATCAATAATAATAATAATAATAATAATAATAATAATAAAAAATTATCCTCAAATAGTGACAATCTCAATTGAAGTGCTAAATTAATTGTCAAAAAATCAAAACATAATGAATTTTCATTTATTATTTGGAATAAATAAAAATTAAAATCTTATAACTATTAAATAGAAATATAAAATACACAAAAAAAATCAGAATTGTTTTGTTAAAAATTATAATTTTTGTAATGTTCTTATTTTTCTTCTGTTCACAAAAAGTTTGTAATATACAATAAATTGAAAACAACATACAATTGATCAAATAATTAAAAAAATTCATAACACTCCTAACATAACATAAAAAGTTGATAACAAAAATAATAAACACAACATATTAAATAATTGTGAATATTAAATATTAGACTTAATTTTTTTAAAATTTAATATTTTTATAATATTTTGTGTGTATTATAACTTTATGTTATTTTTATGTTAAAATACTAAATAAATATTAATTATAAAATTAGATCACATTCATATATGATTAAACCCGAAATTCGACTATAATGATACATGGGATTCTTCATTACCATTATCAAACAAAATAATCCAGATCAAAAATTAGGTTTTAAATACAATAATCCAATAGGTTTTCCTCACTTGGCCATGTCAAGCTGTAAAATTAAAAATAAAAAATGTAAATGCAAACTAAAAACATAAGAGAAAGATAAAAATTAAGTCAACATGAGTTGATTGAGTTCATAAAGTTCAAAATTTTCGTTTGTACGGTCTAAATTCAAGTTTTACAATTAATAATTTTTAAAATAAATCATTTATAAATTTAAATACATTTTCTCTAAAATTTACAATTTACTTTGATATTGAAATGAACCAACCTCTTCTCCCCTTAAATTTCTAATTTTTAAGAAAGACAGAGATAAAAAAAATAACTTTTGGGGTAAGGAATTTTTTCTTTGGTGCACTCTGTGACAAGGCTTAGTTTTTTTTTTTTTTTTTTAATTTTTCAATATTTGATAATTATTTTGAATTTCAATTATTTTGAAGTTGAATAAAGTAGAATCTTAAAAAAATAACAAACTCTCTTAATGTTTTTTTTTTGTTCATAATTCTCGAAATCAAAATTTTATTTAAAAAAATTGAATTTCTTACCTCAAATTAATGAACATTGATGTAATAAGGCCTAGTTATTAGTTAAAAAGTTTGACCATTGGGTACTGCAACAAATTTAGAATTAAAAAAGAACAGAATAAAATTCAAAAGATTGGAATTATTAAGCAATCATAACAAATTATTCTCTTCTCTCTTTTTCGCCATTCTTGGCTCACTTCACGGATGAAACAGTCAAAAGCTTCGGCTTTGCCTCTTTTAGCATTCTTGTTTTGGCGAGTTTATGAGAAGTTTTTATTTATTTATTTTAAATTCAAGCTGATAGTCAAATGCGGGCTTTGAAGACTCAACCTAATGCATGAAAACTTTTATTCGAAAGATATATACATTATTTTGCTGATACAATTTGTTCGTTTACAAAAAAAAAATTCAAATTAACTTAAAATTTGTAAATATAGGATAAACATTATCTTTGAACTAAATGCTTGATCTTGCTTTTCTTCCATTCATATTGAAGTAATGAAAGAATTACCTTTTTTTAGTGACGGATCCAAATGGTATAATAAATGTACATAAACATTTTTTAAATTTAAAAAATAAAAAATTTGAAACAAATTTCTTTTAATATTTTCAAAAGTTTTTTAAATATTTTTCATCAATAAAATAAATAATTTTATTTATTATTATATAAATATATTAATTACAATTTACTATTTTGGATAAAAAATAATTCCACCGGTGCCTTTCTCTCTCATTTCACTCATGATCCATTTTGATTAAATAATCATTTAAATTCTATGGTATTTTCAACACAATGCGATTAAGTTCATAATATCTTTAATTAAATTCAAAATGTCAATTTCAATGAGATCAAGTTAATATAAAATGTTTATTAAAATTTTTTTCAATCATAACTATAATAATTTTTTTAAATTACAATTACAATAAATTTTATTATTATTTTCAATCTCAACACAACTTATTCATTCAAATGAACCTAAAAAGGATCGGAGAATTTGATTTCCCAAAAGATACTGTTTCAGACAATCCCTACTCCATCTTAATTCATATCAAAGCTTCACTAATGCAAATAATGAATTTACACCTCATCTCATCCTGCTCTTGCATTCCTTAAAAGCAAAATTTATAATGATCAAAACAAAGACTAAAAGGCAATAATAACATGTCCTAGTATCAATATAACAAAATAAAAAAAAAATGCATATAAAAGAGTCTTGTTGTCATCAATCATCATTGTTGTTCAACCACAATTTTTTTCTTTTTATATGAAAATCAACGGTGAAGATCTGCTCTCTTTTAGCAGACCTTACCACATTATTCCACCTCATCTCCAAAGATCTACACCTCTCATTTTCTTAATTGTCTTTTTTATTTTTTTTCACATTTATCATTTTCTATATCATCAAATCTAAATCTGTGTGCTACATGAACTGCAACAGTTTGACCCTTTTTACTTCATAGGACCACAACAGTAACTTCAAAAGAAGGACAGAATTCAATTAACAAAAAAACAAAAAGGAAAATAGAAAGAAATTGAAGGGATGGAGAGGAAAAAAAGGCCAACCATGTGAATGATGATGAAGATCAATCTTCTAATTGGGTTCATCAGTATGCTGAGTTTCCTTTTTTACCCTCGCCTGAATTCCAAAATAACTAACATACCATTTTACAAATTTCCTCAACCCCGTGGCCAAATCTGTGGTGGGTTTGTAAGCAAAATCCTTATAGGCTAAGGTCACATTGGCATGTGTGAAGGGCACATCCCCATTTCTAGGCATTGTGATCACATGTTTTTTGGCCTTGGTGTTTAGCAATCCTTCCAGGATTGAAACCAATCTACCAACAGGGACCGGAGAGGTGTTCCCCAAGTTGTAAACTCTCAATTGAGCTGCACCTTTCTTCTTGCCACCACTTCCGGTACTCTTCTCAGCCGTGTCCAATGCCCCTAGACACCCTTTCACGACGTCGTCAATGTATGTGAAGTCACGCGCCACCTCTTTTTGATCATGCGTCTGGTAAATGTCAATGGATTTACCTTGTAGAATATCTTTAGTGAAGAAGAAATAAGCCATGTCAGGTCTTCCCCAGGGACCATAAACAGTGAAGAATCGTAGTCCCGTAAGGGCAAGACCGTAAATATGGTTGTAAGTGTGGGCAATTTCTTCTCCTGCTTTCTTGGTAGCAGCGTAAAGGCTAGCTGGCTGGTCTGTCCTGTCTCGTTCGGAGAATGGATTTTCAGTGTTGAGTCCATAAACGGAGCTTGAAGAGGCCCAAACAATGGATGGCTGAGGATTGGCTACTTTGGCTACCTCAAGCAGGTTAACAAACCCTGCAATGTTCGAGCTCACGTACGATTGTGGGTTTTGCATGGCGTAACGTACCCCGGCCTGAGCTGCTAAGTGAAGTACATGAGTGAAAGGTACGACATCGAAGAGTTTGGTTAACAAGGGTGCATCATTCAAATCACCTTCGACAATGAAAATTTGGCGCTTGGCTAAAAGGTTTTGCCTGGCTCTTTTCAAAGAAGGATCGTAGTAGTTGTTAAAGTTGTCTAAACCAAGAACCCCATCGCCTCGTTTTTTCAAAGCGAGGGAGCAGTGGGAACCAATGAACCCGGCGGCGCCCGTGACTAAAACAGAGAACCCATTGGGTCTACGTGGGGTGGAAGAGTGACGAACTTGTTTCTCCCAGGCGGCGCCGCCGGGGGAGGTGGTGGAGAAAAGAGAAGTAGAGAGAAAGCTGTAGTGGCGGTGGTGATGTTGGTGAGGCGGGACATGGTGGGGATTATCGGAAAGAGGAGGGTAATTGATGGTAAAGAAGAGGATTAAGACTAAAGCAATTAGAAGGGTTACTCGGAAGAGAAGTTTAGAAGAAGCATTTAGCAGTTTTGTGCTGTGAATTTTTCGGAGATAGCTATTGTATCTCTCTAGTTTCACGGTTTTGCTTGTGTCTGGTGGTATAGCCATTTCTTAAAACTTGTTTTCTTTTTGTCTTTGGTTTTGGTTTCGGTAGAATTTTTTGTTTGGTGTTCTTTCTTTCGTTTGGGAAGGGAGGAAAGGAGATGAGGGGACTCGAGAGAAAAGGGCTCAATGTGTTAAAGAAGAGAGCTTGATCTTCGAGGTTGAGCCCTGAAGTTGTGAAGAGTGCAGATGGAAGATTATAAAGAGAGATAGAGAAGAAAAATGGAAGAAAAAGGAGAGAAAGAGCGAGGAAGGGGGCAAGGGGTCGGTGTTGGTGTTGGCTGGAGACCACTTTTTTTGGTTGGCTTCTTTCTTTTAACTAAAATGCTTCAGTACATTACAGATGGAAAGTGGGCAATTAATGGGATGAGAAAATGCCCCTCGTTTTCACTGGTAATTACAATGTGTTCTCAAATCAATGCATTTTTATGCAAATGGGAGAGATATGATATTTGCCAGCTATCTTCTTCTGTATACAAAATCCGTTCCCCATGTGATCCGCACGTGTTGCAATGTGAAGACCAAGACTCCCAACTCTCCATCACCATTCCCATGACCACGTAAATTTCATTTACTTTCATTCTTGAACTATTATTAAAAAGAGCATTGTTTCAAGTTGTTAAGCTCAAATTGTTTTGGTTAGTCTTTCAATTATTCGGATTCGAGGAGTTTCAAGTTTTGATCAACTCACATTTGAGTGTAACAAATTTAAATTTTTAATTTTTTTAATCAAATTAAGTTAATTTTATTTAAATTTAAACTATTCAAATAACTTTTTTAAATTCAATTTAATTTTATCAATATGTAACAATATACCAAGTTAATTGGGACCAAAAAAGTTTAGATTATGATGTAGCATCACTCACTTCAAATAATTTTGATTCAACTTCATTGGAGTCATAAAAAAATTAGGGTTGAGGCTTGCTATTCTAGTGGATGTGTCTTTGACTTTATCCATCAATTCAATCTTCTATTGTTGGTATTAAAAAAAAAAAAAATCTTCTGTATATATAAGATTCGAATCTTGAAATTCTTTTTCTAAAGGATAACAACAACTAATAATGGACCAACCCTTGAGGAAACTTATTTCACACAGAAAGTGAAAATTAAACTAGGACAAAATTTGAACAATAATAAATGTTTTCCAAGGCATTTTCTAGGGAAGCTTTCGATTTGAACTGAAAAATTAGAGGAAAAACATGTTGCAACAATGAATATTGATTTCTTTAATAACTTAGGTCAACCACTAATAAAAGCTTCTAAACCTGCGTGCTCTTTTTATATTTTATTTAATTGTCAATGTATATATAACCGACAAAGAATTTTAGGTTTTGATTAATCTTCTGAACTTGTTTTTTTTTTTTTTTAATGCTAAAATTAAAATGTCATTTTTACGGTATCTAAGGTACAGTTAATTACTTTAATCTAATATAGAAATTATATTTTGGTGCTGCGAGACAAGAAACTTGCCGTGTCGTTGGTCTCAATCATGACTTCAATTTTTCTTTTTATTGGTGAGCTGGAAACAAATTTTTCTTTTTTGGAAAATAGTTGTATACTTCTTTTGATTTTTTTTTTAAATTTTTTAGTATATGATAATCATTTTGAATCTTAATTAATTTAAAATTAAGCAATGTCAAATCTCATAAAAAAAGCAAGTTCTTTTAAATTTATTTTTTCATTCACAAAACTTGAAATTAAAATTTTATTTAAAAAAAATTAAATTTTTTATCACTTGGATCAATAGATATTGATATTTTGATTTTTATTTGAAAATTGAAAAAGTTCACCAAATTATAGTGACTCTGAAAACGTGTTTGGCAGGGTCATATTTTTTAATGCAGCTTTTTTGGAAATTAATTTTCCATTCTATTGAAAACTAAATAATTTATAGCCCCCAGTAATTCTTTATCACTTATGAAAATGATTTTAGGAGAAACAATATTTTATATTCCTATTAACTATGGGAATGTGACTTGGAAACCCTGAATTTATTCATGAATCATGATCTAGATTCATTATAATATTTTTAGTAAATGAATTGGACTTTGATTTGAATAAGAGTCTTTGCTTCAAATTGACTACAACTTAATGAATGTTCTCGATCTAAGGCTAATTAAATATATTATTTACAGATCTATTTAATAATTAAGCATCCATTTTTGGGGAATAAAAATGAAAATATACTCAAACAAGTGAGAAAAATATTCCTTACAACGAAAATTTTCTGATTATGCTATCTCATATATAGATTTGCAATTATATAACAATCTGATTAGGCCTTTTTTTACTGATGGGTTATTGGGGTTGACTTTTATGATCTTGGATAATAAATCCACCCCATTCTTAAAACATTATATAGATAGCGAAAAAAAACTTTGGATCTCAAATTGTTGTTAAGAGTAATGGTTGTAAGAATGTTAATTTTATCATTATTTAATGAAAAATTTAATTTTTTATTTGAATGAGGATGTAGATAGATAATATATTGTGAAAATGGGTATGGAGATAAATATGATATTAAATTTTTATTAGGAACGGGAATAGATATGGATAATGTAACATATGCCCATGTTCGTACTTATATATATATTTATATATATTTAGTAAATAAATTTTTTATTAATTAACATAAATTATTATTTTAAATTAATTAAAATTAATATTTTTAATTGAAAAAATATATTAATATATATTTATAAAAAAACTATCTAAGTATACAAAATTAAAAAAATTAAAAATAAATTTTAGTTTTTATTTTTTTTAAAGCTATAGGTGTGAGGATCACCTATACCTATTAAATATATGTGAAAATAAAGATAAAAATAAATTAAAAAATTTATTGAAAATAAATATGATATGAATATAATATAAAAATCCTAAAATGAAATGATAAATATTTTATTCTCTTCGTAACATTAATTTTGAATAAGAAGTTTGATTTCAAACAATTATTAATGTATTCTTACTATTCTTTTAAAGTGTCAATTTTTTAGAATAATTCTATTTTACCTTAAATTTCATTGTTCAATTACTAACAAATAATATTAAACCGCCATGCCACTTGTTTCATTAGTTTTGTATAAAAATATTAGTACTTTATGAAATTGCGTATGGTTCTTGGATAATTCAAAAGTAGAGTTTATGGTCACGGATAAGTTAGTTTATTAATAAATGAGATATTACAATTAAATTAATAAATTATTGTCACATCAGAGGAACAAATGTGATGGAACAAAAATAATGTGACTAATAGCATTTTTTTTAATGTTTAAATATTAAAATATAATTTTATAAATATTTATTTCTTATAAATATTGATTTGACGGGCATTTTAAAATTTTTTATGAAATTATTAATAAAAAATTATCATCATAATCAAATATTATATTTTATATAAATATTTGATAAATTAAATTAAATAATAAATTAATCAATAAATTTATATACAATTAAAAAAATCAATATAAAAGAAAACAAAATTCACATAAAAATTTTAACTTAAATTTTCAGATTGAAACTTAAAATTTCAAGTTTACAACTTGTTATCGATCACTATAACAATATCTTAACGGCGGAATATTTTTAATAATATCAAATAACATGGATTTTCATATTCCATGAAGCAGCTATTGTAATTAATTAGAAATGCAGGGGCAGCTTCCAAGAAGGTCGGTTTCATTACAACTTTTTTCGATGCACGAAACGAGAGATCTCTTGGGGCTAACCTCTCCCAACTCCAAAGAGATATATATATATATATATATATATATATATATATATATATATAAAATTAGAAATGCAGGGGCAGCTTCCAAGAAGGTCGTTTTCATTACAACTTTTTTCGATGAACAAAACGAGAGATCTCTTGGGGCTAACCTCTCCCAACTCCAAATAAATAAATAAATATATATATATATATACTCAATTGTTTTAATCTTATGGTAAAAAAAATTTAATGTGATAAATGTAAAAACCCACAAGGTCTGATGTAGGACATGGGTCCTACAAAGTGTCCTTATCCCGCCGGTGGAAGTTGCTAGGTGGGAAAATATAAGGGAAGATTCCAAAGTCCCAAAGGGCACTTAAATCTTTTCGTGGTCACCCGGTCCCTTATCATTCCGCGTGGGACGTCGGTCTCTTTATCCCATGAGAAAGATTTAAATGCAATTATAAAATTATTATTAGATATTTTTATAAGAATATAGAACTATATAATAAAATTATGCCAAAACCCCAATTTAAGAAAAAAATTAAGGCAAGACATTATTAATCTACAATTCCCACTTTGATACTTTGACTTTAAATAGGTATTCACATTCTTCTATCTCCAATAATGCAAATAAATTTAGGGTCTACATTAATATGCAAAATTTATAGATTTTTCTTCATTTGGATAATGAAAAGATTTCTAGCACGTCACATACGCATTTTGATTGGATCTTTAGAATTCCATTATAAAACAATATTTACGATGTGATATGAATCCTTCCCATCACACATGTAAAGGAGTTCTTTCTATAATTACAAGTTTGTTTAGACCTAATTTTGAGTTAATTAACAAATTGATTTAAAGACAACTTGAAAGTAAACTCATTAAATTTACAAAATAAAATAATGAATTCATCATATAACTAAATTTTAATATACTTTTTTTGATATTGCATTTATGATCAAATTCAACGTTTATGGTCAAATTCAACTCCATTTTCAATATGATACGAGAGATGAGTCTCCTTTTTGTAAAACTAGTAGGAAACTAGCGTATGAAAATCATTAGTAGATGAAATTCAAGTACCAAAATATCATTTTAGAATAATATTGAAATGATTATGTGCTTTTGGGGTGGTTGGCACTTCATGGAAAGCATTTAAAAATATGGTAATGAGGTTGAATCAAGTTCGAAATTGCTTTTGAAGAACTTAGAACAAATCCAAATAACAAAATCTTTGGATGCTAAAATATTGGCAATGGACATGTGGGTCATGGCATTTGCCATGATTTCTTCAATGGATAAGAATGTTAGATCATATCCAAATATGATTCTCAGTGAATTTGTCGGTTGAACGCGCAAACCGTTGTTCCAGCATTTTTTTTTTTGTCAAAATCTTCTTCGTTTCTATTAAACTATCGTACCAACTTTGACCAAAGTTGATGAATAGCTCAAATTGTTAATTAAAGTGGTTGGATTTTGAAACATTGGGAATCAATTTCTTTTCGACAAATTTCTTCTTTGAAATTATGTGGTGCGCTTTTGTTTCCTTTTGGAACATTAAATTTTGCATTACTATATATAAGTTGTAATGGGAGCTTGATATATACTACCTTATATGAGTAAAATATTCTAAAGTAACGTCAACGATAAACTTCGGATCGAACTTGAAATCCAAAAAAGTGCTGCCATAATTGAATATGACAGTCAACTATTTCACCAAAAGCAGTTGCTGCCATAATTGAAAATATTATTTTCATTTTTGCACTAAGAAAGTCGACTATCTCTCCACTTACAGACTGAAGAATTTAAAAATAATGGTAGGAAATAGATTGCTTTAGACCAAAAAAAAAAAATCAAACGAAATAGACTGCTTTAGACCAAAAAAAAAAACAAAAATCAAACAGAGACAAACAAACTGGACGAAGAAACTTACTAATTTATCATTTCTAGAAAAGAGAGGGAGGTAGGTTTTTTTTTTTACTACACATTCTAAACCAAGTGCTCGTTAATGTTTTTATGATTATAGTAATCATCTAATCGGTTGCCCAACATCCATTTCGTTCAATTCTTCTAATAGTGTCATTTATGAAACTTTAAGGGTTGAAAATCAATCTCGAAAGAAAGAGAGACAAAGTTCTTACAGGCATATATACGAATGCATGTATATAAAGTGATGCAATATAAGTGTTGTACGTTTTGTAATGATCGATTTGGAGAATATACTCAATTATTATTTGTAATGCTTTTGAAAAAGCATACAAAAGAAGATGACAAAGTGGAGCCAACAATAATCTGACCAATTTTGCCATATTAGTTGTGGCAACGTCATGAAAGTAATAGGTGGGACTAAGTGATTCCAATTCCTACTTGCAAATTGTAATTGGGTAGCATGCTGTCATGCTTTTCCCCAAAATATCCTTTTTTTTCTAAATGGGAAATCTGCTACCTATCACACTTAGAAAGTTCGATTATCTAGGTTAATTTCATAATTTGGGTTTCACAATATAACATTAAAGGAAATTATTTTATACCCGAACATTTAGTTTAGTGGTGATTAGTGTGTATGTATCTTATTTAAAAAATTGAGTTCGAATTTCTCTCTTTTTAAATAAAAAAAATTTTGTTCACTTTATGAGCTCTTTATTTCTATATTACAAGAATTTTTTTGAGTAGATATATATAGAGACTCAATGGCCTTGGGCTACACAAAGACAAATAATTTCTCTATCCAACTCCTTGTTTGAAGAAGATAAACACATACAAACATGGCAAGTAGTAAAAACTAAAGAACTCGTGGGAGTTGGACACACTTTAATTGAAGTAGGTAATTAACCAACGAAGTTACTTTAAAATTTTCATTTCGAGAAGTAGATAAAAAAAAAATAGAAAATTTTTTCCCCTATATTCCCGTTGACAAGATCGACTACCTAATTCCAAGTTTTGTTATGTTTAAAAGCAAGATTAAATCGATATGAAATTCCTTTTCATATCTATATATATCTATCATCAATATATATTAAGACAGGTTCACATGATATTCCTGTTTATAGGTATGATTAGTATGTCACTATACTAATGCTAAAGTACTATTCATTGCTTGAAAAAGAATGGCTACTAGCATTAGGTGAAATAGGGTGTGAAGGCCAGGTTGCAAGGTCTAACAAACTTTAACATATATATATATAAAACTTGATTACGCATCGATATTGACTTTTGGGCTAACTAATTAATAGCAAGGGATGTCAAAACGAAACCCACCTCAATTGGGTAGGATCGATATGTTTTAAGTTGAAAAAACGAGGATAATAATAAATGAATATATCATCTAATATAAAAAATTTTAAAAATAATGATATAAAACGGTTACTCATGCTAATAAACATCATTTCATCTTTTAAAAATCAATATAATGTATGCACTATTATCCAATGTATATATAATCTTTAGACGTATCGATGGATCCAATGGGATCCGATAGACACTTCAAATTGCTTGCCCAAAGCCTAACCCACCCTACCCAACAAAGCCTATTCAAACCCATTTGATTTAAATTTATTATTCAAATATTAGAAAATAGTTTTACATTGATTTTTTTATATTTTTACATATATTTTTGGATTAAAAAGTAATAAAATTAATTATCTAACAATAAAACATATTTCCGAGCTGAGTCATATCATGTTAGGCTTGAAAATTCATGTCCATGGATCAACCGATGAAAATGTTTAATAATCCTTATCTAAATTTTTACTTTTACTATTTGGACCAGCTTTTAGTAAAGATAATAATAGATTAGATCAAAAAAGAATTTTGTTAGACTAGACTTAACATAAAAATATTATTTTTTTATTAAATCTGACTTGACTCTCTTATGTTTAAAATTACATCTGATTAGATCTGAAATTAATTTAATAATTTTAATTTATTATAATATTTATAAAATATTATTTTTGATATAAATTACATTTTAATTATATATAAATATAATATTTTAAATTAAAATATTAAATAATAATTTTATTAATATAATATATAAATATAAAATTAAATTAATAATAAAAAATATTATATATATATATATATATATATATATATATATATATACACACACACACACCAAACCGTATAAAACTCAACTTTAATCTTAAAAATATTTGTTTTGACTGACCTTGATCAAAACCTGATTTTCATTAGAAAAAAAAAATTGTCCTTATAAATCGGGTTTAGACGAGATAATGTCGGATAGATTTGCCACCTCAAGCCGTTGGTGCCTCTGGCTTAGTACGGAACAGTACACAAATTATCTATTTTCTATTTCATTATCTTGATTGGCTCTTGATCACGCTGGTTTAGTACGGAACATTACACAAATGAATATCTTTTTCCTTTTAATCAAAATAATAAAGAAAAAGAAAAAAAAATTGAGAAAGTTGTTTATTACCAACCAATAATCATTATATCTTTGCTTCAAATTCTATTTACATAAAAAGATGGTGAAAAAAAGAAAGAGAATTTGGTTAATATCACGTTTATTTTAGTAGAAGTAAAAACAAGTCACTATCTTAAAAAGAGGCATTAGTTTTAGTGGTCCAAAAGCAAGAAACTTCATTATTTTAATGAAAAACTCTAGCCACCATCCCCATTCATATAGTTAATCTTTTCAATATCTAAAGTCAAGCTAAAAATATTTTTCATGTCTTCAATTCCTCATCAAAATTCTTTAATAAGTTAACAAAATTAAAAATGAATTATTAGCATAATTACCTCCAATAATAAAAAAAGGAAAATATCACCATTTTTATAAACACAATTAACATGAATTAATGACACAAAATTATTGTAGTATTCCCTAATTGATATTTCCCAACATTAGAGAGACAACCAACATTACTTAGCAAATTAAATAAATGGGAATCCCACACGCATTTCCAATTGTAAAGTGTCTATGTACAGTATGGAAAATACAAGAGACGTCACTCGTTTTGCTTTCTCTCACTCCGTACAAAATTGTCGGCAGAGTACTGTATTCGAGAACCTTGCTTATAATGTATTGGCAGCTCAAGTAGGGATAGCGATGAAAAGGAAAGAAAAAATTGAGGTGTATTTCTTAGGCACTAAAGGGTACAAAAGCGGTCATGATTCGATGTTTGATGATTTTATTGGACGAAATCATATCTAGATATGTCGTTTCTATGAACTAAAATTGTGATCACATCAAGTTCAAAAATCAGCTAGAACTATAGTTTTAAAAATTAATTGTTTTTTTAATTGAATATCTTAATTAATGTTGTCTTAAAATGTTAGAATTTTCATAATTGTGAGTTACTATTAATTGAAATTTTAGTTTATAAATCAGACCGATACATTTAGTAACACACAAGTAAATCTAAGTAAGTTAAAATTATTGATTTAGTTATTGGCTTTACACGAATTATTTGGGTCAATATGGTTAGGTGATATGTCCTTAACCCAATAAACATCTTGATGAAAACTCTATTAGGATTTTATATAAATATATTTTTAAAAAAATTAAAATATTTATTCATAGGAATAAGGTATTGTTATAGCCACGCTACAAAATCAGAAGATTTATGCATTCCCATTTTTACAAGGGAATCCGCAAAATATTTTTAATCCTAATAAAAAGATTATACATCCTATTCAGTAACTCATTGTACCTCCAAGGGCAATCACTGACCTTGTTTAGCCAAACTGTAACAACTTTAGAATCGCTTTCAATAATGATATCTGGGGGCTGATCAATGTTGGTGTTGGCCACAATAGTCAGAGCTTCTATCATGGCTAACAGCTCCGCCAGATTCGAATCTTTGACACCAATGTTCTTGGAAAACATAAGTAAAACTCTCTCTTTCCAGTCATGGATGATGCTTTCAACATCTGCCAATCCAGGTTTGCCAATTGCCGAACCGTCCATGTTAATTTTTCAAACTCCTTCAGGGGGAAGACCATGCAGCATTCTTCCTACATTGCTTCTTGTAAGAAAGGATGGATAGATCCTGAATGCTAGAAATGAAGTATAGCTACGAGAGGTTTAGTTCTGGGTACTTAGCATTTATCCACCAAGCAAGCCTAGTACAAATCAAGCTGAACATGTAGTCATTTGAGATGATTTTTTGCTTGAAGACCTTTTCATTGCAAGCAAGCCAGACCGACCACACTACCGCATAGATCAATGTGTCCCGTATGATCTAATGCTGCTTTTTAATTATAAAAAAGCTCTAGGATTCAAGAAAGCCGTTGAGAGAACTAGGTGATGGGATAAAATAATCTCAAACAATATTCAAATAAAATATCTCACATAGCAAAAAAATCAAATTATCCATCTCTTGTATGAATTTAGCAAAAATTAAATAAATAGAGTTAATAAATAAATCTCTAATCCGTAAATACAAATATACAAGCAATTTACGTAGAAAACCTCTTCAAAATGGGGAGTAAAAATTATGGGCAGCAACAAATAATCTTTATTATCAAAATAATAAGAATAAAATGTATCTCTAGCTAAAATTAGAAGTATATAACCACAATATCTTAAAATTAAACAATCTTGGTAAAGAAACAATCTTGCAAAAAAAAATTAGAAAAGTCTTAGCAAATTTATGGATTAACAAACACCCACAAAATCAATAGGTAAAAAACTCAAAACCCGATCACCACTGTTCAGATTGAAGAACAATGAGTCATGGACGCATTGATAAAATTTCAACTTAATCGGACAATATATTGACCTCGATCAAATTACTTGACCGAAACTACACAAAATCCTCTTTTCTTCCCTTTTTTTTTCTATATTTTGCTACCACTCTCTTGTTTCTTTTTCAATCATGTAAGGGTTTAAAATCTTATAACCAAGCATGAAAGGACTAAAAAGTCCTTAGTGAATGGGCTTTGGTTTTAGGCCACCTCCCCATTGAGGAAACTAAGCTAAAAAAATCTCCACATTTCCAACTATGTAGAGGGAATTGTCATTCCAGTGATTGAATGACAAACTTCAAGTTTCTCCCTCAATAGTTTTATTAGCATAAAAATATTATTCCCATACAAAGACTTCATCTCATCCTACATGGCTACAACCTACTCTTTCTTATGTTTATCTTTCACGGCCTTTACATAATATTTGGGTTCTCTCGTATCACTTAGTAGCACAAACTCATCAATAAAATATCGTGTGGAAGGTTATCGATCTTTAGCAGACCTTTTAAGTGAAACTTCTAATAAAACTTTTGGTTAAACCCTAATACTGGTGATTGTTCATGGGTATCATCACCCATTTCAACCTTGTAGGATTGGTATCAACATTACCTTTATTATGTTAGTTATCCTCAACATATTCAACTTATGTAGACATATATGTTAAAGGAAATAGATCCAAGTCAACAAACCACCACTATATTATGGAACTGATGAATCAGTCTTTCGAATATTTTGTATGGTCTGGTCTTCAACAAAAACAATATCTCTACTTTTCATAAGGTTTTTTTGCACTGGATCATAAAACTTCTAGTCAAACTCATCTTAGCCTTAACCACAGAACACATACCATTTAGTCTTGACATCAAGTTTGGATCTTTCATCTTTAGGAATATGCACAAAAACCTTGAATCTAAAGGTGCGTAAGTGATTATAGGGCACATCTTTGCCTGATCAAATTCTATCTGGAACATTAAAATCTAGAGTAACACATGAGAGAGATTCAAAACATATACAACTCTACTCAAAGCCTTGTCTCAAAAAGATTTTGATAACTATGCTTATGAAAGTAAACATCTCACTCTTTTTATTAATGTCCTATTTATCCTCTCAGTTAACCTATTCAATTGAAGAGTTTTAAGATGTGACTTTTAATGTCAAATGCCCTACTATCTGCAATACTCATCAAAAAGGTATAGTGTACTTATCCTCTTTATCAATTCTTATGCATTTCAATTTCAACTCTATTTATCTTTTAACTAAAGCATGAAATTGTTTAAATACATCTAACACTTGGCCTTCTGATTTCAAGGTATAAGCCTATATCTTCCTTGAATGATTATCTATAAAAATCATAAAATAAAATGGGACTACCAAGTTTTTTTATTCTTATAGGATCATATACATCAGAATAAACTAAATCAAGTATACTTGGCTTTATTGATGGATGGGATGTCTTGAATACAACTCTAGTTTGTTTTCTTGCCAAGCAATAAGCACATTTTTTCAACGATACATTGTTCACTCCAAAAAAAAGATTTTTCTTGGCCAAAACCTTCAAACTCTTCTCACTCATATGACTAAGTGCTTGTACCAAAGCTCAGTTGTATCATCATTATTTATTGCATTGATAATGGAATCAGACACCATAGTTTGTATCAAATATAATGAGAAGCACTTCAGACCCCTAACTATATCTATAGAACCTTTAGTGAGCTTTCACTAACCATGATAAAAGGTGTTGTAAAACCTATCATCATCGAGCTTTCCTACAGAAATCAAATTCATGTGAATATCAAGAATATGTTTAACATTTTTCAAGACTAATGTAGTGCCATTATTGGTCTTCAAAAACACATTTTCTATACCAATGGCTTTAGCTAAGCTATCATTACTCATTCTAACCCTCTCAAAATCATCAGGTGTGTAAGATGCAAAGTAATCTTTTCGAGATGTAACATGAATTGTGACACTAGTATCAATCACCCAACTAGTCTCCTGGCATGCAAGATTAACAATATCATCATCATAAAAAAATAAAGAAGTCATTTGTGACAGTAGCAACTTTATTAGCATTATTTTCATCACCATTCTTCTTTTCTTTATCCATGTCCCTATTGTTGTTTATTTTTAACTTTAAGCAATATTTTCTTATATGCCCATTCAAACCACAATAATGACATTCAACATTAGCAAATCTATTGGTCTTACTTTTACTTTTGTCTCTATTTTTTAAACCTTTACTTTTTTTTTTAATTTTTTATGACTAAGACCTTAGACTATGAAGAAGGACCCTGTGACTTTCTTATCATCTTTTCATTCAAAATACCACTCTTAGCCAAATCTATAGTAATAATACCATTTTGGCCTGAGTTAGATAATGTTGTTCTAAACATCTCCTACAAGTCTAGTAATGTACCAAGAAGTATAAACCTCGTATCTCATCTTCAAATTTGAGATTCATGCCAGCCAATTGATTAATAATACCTTGATATGCATTTAAGTGATCTATCATAGGAGTTTCATCCTGATATTTCAAACTCATTAATTACTTAATTAAAAATAGTTTATTATTCTCACTTTTTTGAGCATACAACTTTTTAAACTTACTCTATAGAATGCATGCATATGTGTCTCTACAAACATGGTTCAAAACATTATCATCTACCCATTCTCTAATATAACCACATACCTATCAATGAAATAAATTTCATTCCACATCTATTTTATTTTTAGGCTTTTCAGTAGTAGACACAGATAAATAATAATCTTTCACATAAAGTAAGTCTTCTATCTTCCCTTTCCACACATGGTAATTTGAACCATTCAATTAATAATTATACTTGTATTGGCTTCCAATATTCAACACAAGGCACAAATCAAATGACTTGAGCTTTGATACAATTTTGATAGGATAAAAGAACCTCAAACAATATTCAAATTGAACACGTCACAAAGCGAAAAAATCAAATTATCTCTCACTTATGTGAATCTAGCAGGAATCAAACCAAAAGAGCTAACAAATAAATCTCCAATCTACAAGCATAAGGACATAAGTAATTTAAATAGGTTCATGTAGGTTTTCCTAGTCCTAAAATGAAAGTTCTAGCTTCGTTTTTACTAATAACAATGGTTCAATCTTTAGTAAATGCAAGTATAAAAAAATTATCAATGATTAACAATTAAGTTACAATTAATGTAATATTATTTTGTTACAGATTTACTACTAAGCTATCAGTGGATTATTACTAAATTATGAATGTTTTATAATTAAGTTATTAATGATTTTCTATTAAATTGTTAATAATAGTTTCTTTGATTCAATTATCAAAAAGTATAGAAGATTATTTTTAATTCATGGAATTGAACTTACATATTTTATTATACCCTTAAAAATTATATAAATAATTTAAATAGTATAAATTTTGAGAAAGGATAATTTTGATTAATAAATAAATTATTCTATCATAATCTTTAAACACAGAAAACACAAGGTAGGATAATATTATTTAATCTAATCTTATTCATATTGTCATAATGTCATATCATATTTACTCTTGTGTATTAAACACATCTTTAAGATATTTTTTAAAATTTTTTGTTCATGGTAAAATAGTACATATTAAGATAAGTTTTATTAATGATTTAATTAAATGATTAGCGTATGTATTTTCATACCTGTTAGCAAACTACAACTGCATATAGAAGATTGAAATTTTTGAAGTGTTCTTCCAATAATGAAAGTAATAAAGTTTACCCTATATTTCTATCATTAATTAAATAATTTTAGATAATAATTTTGTTATATATATGATAAAAGTAATAAGAAAATTTTAACTAAATAAAATTTATAAAAATAAACAGCAACAATTTTAAAAAAAATATTAAGTTTACAACAAGTACCTTCACATTCGCTTTCAAAAATTTCTTCTACTAAATGAAAAGATATTCCATATTATGCTTCATTCAAAATGAATTTCTTGATGTTTTGATGCAAACTAACTTTTCTGTTGGAAAAAGCAAAGAATATTTTAAAGGATGGTAACAACACAAATATATTTTACTTTATGTTGTCTTCCTAAATAAGTATGGATTATAATATTTCTTTCAAACGAAATATTTGAGTTGTTTCTTTCAACCCATATAACTACAAATTGATTAGCAAATGAGCAATTATAAACTTATTGATCTTGATTAACATTTTTGTAATATGAATTTTAAAAT